ATGGGGTAGGACTAGATAAGTCTAACTTCTTCCTACTCCGTTCAAGCATGTACTAGGTATAAGCAAATTGATAATGGATTAGCATTTGTGGATATGTGTGAAATTATGTGTGTTGACATATCGACTATCTTTACGTGTTTGAAAGAATAAATAAATCAAATATACACATACAAAAATGTTTATGTCTCAAAAATGTGGTGATGGATTAATTAAAAAAAATGCATGTGACATGAAATAAACCATGACATTTTAAGATTTAGGCAGTAACACCGCCACAGTACCTTGTATATAGTACTTTGACAGATATGGTTAAGGCATTTTTCCAGCAATTCTTCACTCAAAAAGACATCAAATTAGCACAGAAACATAAATAAGATAAGGCAAAGTAAACTGATAGATGTGTCATTTTGTAAATGTGCAAGCCCAAATCTTTTTGTGGGGGGCATCCACTGTCTCTGCACCATCAATACTATTAACTATTGCCAGTGTTTGATCATTTGCACAGGTACTGTAAATCTAACACACCTTTTACCAATTTTATTAACGGTAGCTATCTGCTTGCATCATATTGTTGTCCTGCATGTTTTCACCCATATAATTTGTTACCTTACATTTTTTTTTATCTATGGCAGGTAATCATGACAGATTAGCGCTGATTAACAATGCCACTTAGTGATCAGTAGAACATGGCAACAGCACTATACCTGCAACCCAAGAGGATATACGTACCCTAACAGCAACAGTGCCCCTAGTGGCAGCTTGGAGAATAACATGCATACACTGGTATAGAACACAATAGGAGAGGTACTAACTGCTAAATTCTAAGTGGCCTACTGAATGTTGTGTACTGAAAAGTAACAAAATAAAGCAGCAAACAATTAGTAATTACTCATGCAAAAATACTTATATCTTGATGTTTTTTATCCTCCTTTGTTTTCTTTTCTTTCTTTTCTCTGTTTGATATGACCTTTTTTGTGACATTACTTTTTTGCTGCTTGACGGGCTGTGCTTACATCAAAATGCAGTTAACAGCCATTACAGTGTACATATGCATAAATAAGCTCTCTTGTGGGACACCAAGTGCTCTTGGGGCCCCTCTGGTGGCCACAGGGGCCCCAATCAGACAATCAGTTCACTAATATCTCACCAAAGGCTGAGATATTCTGCTGTTTAGTAAGATGCATAATGCTGGCTCCTACATTTCCATTCCCAAAATACCTTTTTTGTAGACCCATCTTTCAAATTCCATGCCCAGAGTTTGTAGTGCACTCTGCCCACTCTTAAAATATTATAAGTCTCAAAACTCAACCAATATAATCAGTGTTGCTGTGGTTGTTTTCTCTGACTGGACAAAGTTCCTCCACAGCCACAGGAACATTATACAAGTTTTTTTACAGGCTGAGTGTTATTCCTCATGATAAGAAAACTATACGTTAAAAAAAAAAAAAAAAGCAGAAAGTGCCCTTTAAGGAAGGTGTGCAATTAGAAAACTGCTTCTGAGTAAAGGTGGACACATCATTTAAAACTGTTTGAGGCTAGTACAGTTAAAACCTGTTTGTTCATTGGCACTCTAACTACAGTTAGCCAACCTTTAGCCTCCTCTCTCTGCCCTTATGTAAACATGCCTAATTGCATCACTCTGTCACAGTTCATGAGCCAGCATGGCCTTCCCATTAGATCACACTAGCTGCACTTTTTGTAGATTATGGCCTAGTTACCCTACAGTCTACAAGCTGTTGCAGCACAAATTAAAAGAAGCGAAGCAGCTTACTGTCAACCACAATGGGCAAGATATGTTAAACATACAGCATCCAGCAATGCTAGCACGGCCACCACTGAAGGTAATTAATGTAACAAGGTAATGTAATGTAAGGTAATGTATTAATAAGCAAATATTTGCATTGGGAAGTTCTGTATGTTTTACTGAGCCTCTTACTTCCAATCGAAGCTGGTACTTAACCTGATATGTTTAATATTGACTGATAACCACACAGTTTTATAGAAAGATATTTTAAATACTTATAAGTATTCATATTTAATTACTGCACTATCTGGTCTTTACTCAGGGGTGCTTTGTGTTTAGGTCAGAGTGGAGAAATTGTCTAATAGTGTATGTGCATGGTATGATAGGCAGGGTTGGAGAATGGTGTCCCAGGCAATGGGTGTCTACTAAATCACTGTATGGGTCTTTTAGGTAAGGTTAGGGTTGGAATGTGGTGTAACTTATTATGGGGCCCAGAAGATTTATGATGCCATTGCCTGATACCCACCTCTGTGGGGCCAAATAATGGTGAAATAGTACTAAACTTGTATACTGTATACTTCCATATCAATGCTCACTCATTCTTTGGGACATTACTGGGAAACTAAGGACAACAAGGGGAAAATGTAACATTAGGAATGGTCATATCAAAGCACAATATTAAACATCAATATAAGCTGGTCATCTTAACCTCTAGAGTCCTGAGCTTTGGAAACCCAAGCTGTGCGGTCCTCATATGAGGACGCAGGGACTCTAGAGGTTATTGCACTTAGAAACTTTTTTCTCTTGTTCATGTAGCAGAAGATCGAATGCTGCTATGATGTTGAGGCAGAAAAGGGGGATCAAGGATTACAGAATGTAGACAGAGTCTGACAATTTGGTATATTTCTTATTCATGCTGTTAAAATACACTCAAGAAGCATGATGGGTGGGCTCACACACACTCCTACTATTCATTTCCTGTGACCAAGGGGTCCTTGAAGTGCGTGCTA